CCGCAGTGCAACACCGCTGCCGCAGCAGCCGTGCACCGCCAGCGGCGTCGTGCGCCTCCGTCGCCGCTGCTGTGCGCTGCCAAGAGCATTTTGGGTGTGGAACGAATGGAGCCAGGCTAGGCATTTTGACCAGGGTGGATGTAATTTTGGGGCCGTTTGGTTGATGGAATCAGTTCCGAGAATCCCTTGGAACGGCGCCAAACGGGCTACGAGCGAAACGCTTCAGCCGAGAAACCTTTAACGAATTCTGCTTGATTTTCTGAATCGGCCGGAGGACGGTTTTGTATCGACTCTTTTTCATTTCTCTTGCCTCCTCTGTGTAGGGCTGGATATCGACTAGCTCGGCTCGGCTCGTTATCCTAATGGGCCAAAAGTCCAGCTCGGCTTAGCTCGGTAACTACCTTGAGCTGGCTCGTTTGGCTCACGAGCCAGAACGGAAGGAAGAGATATTAGCAGTAAACAACATACAATTTTGTTCACTGATTTATCAATCGATCTTCCATACAAAAGGAAACATATATATACATGATCTGTATGTGCTGATGAAGTGATGATGTGTGGTTAATATAAAGCTTTATCGTCCAACAGATCAGGTTCCTTGTAGTTACCAAATCTAAGTCTACAAATAAACAAATATCCAATAAACCGCCATCAGCTCGCGAGCCAGCTCGAGCTGGCTCGTTATTATGGCTAACGAGCTAAAAGCTGAGCTTGACTGGTTAGAAAATCGTAACGAGCCGAGCCGAGCTGGCCACGAGTTGAGTGAGATGACGAGCTTCGAGTTTTTCGTCCAGCCTACGTGTGTGCTATCAGAATCTAGCATACCAGCCAAATAGTTTCACAAGGTGTTTCTGATTCACCTCATGAAACGTTTTTGAGAGAATATAGATTCGAAACGTTTTTACGAGAATCTGGATTCCTACCAAACCACCCTTTGATTGGTAGGCTTGGGCTAACCGAGGCACGTGTCTATGTGGGTTCGCTGAGTCAACACCACGGTGACAAAAACTACCTTCCAAACTAGTGGCGGTTAAAAAAACGGTTTTAATAGTTGCATGTGAGAAGGTTTGTAGTTTTATAAATCAGGGAGGAAAGTCGGACGACCATATTGAGGAATTCTTCGTAAAAAATACCAATAATTAATCTATATAAAAGGGTAATTTCCAGTTTGCGAGAAGTCAAACAATTTTGATTTTGACCACATCTATATAAAAAATACTAACATTAATTATACCAAATAAATATCATTAGATTAGTCATGAAGTATATTTTCATAGTTAATATATTTGAAGACATAATGTTGATACTACTTTCTAAAACTTAGTGAAACTTACATTTCGAATCTAGAATTGCATTCTTTTTTGACTGAGGGAGTAGGTCATAGAAGTTCTCCATTGGGTGGGGCCCACATTTGATGTATCTTAGACTCTGAATTTTATTTTTAGCGATCTTGTTAATTTTGCCTCAGTATTAGATTTCGTGATTGTTTGGGCTGAGGAGAAAAAAGAACATTACTACATTAATCTGAAGTAACTGTGGATCATTAATCCAGATGACTGTGGACACATTAAACATTTATTTTAAGAAAACGCTAAATACATGTGAGTCTCACTAGTTTCTTCCACATATATCATTATTGCACCTGAAACACCAAAAGGCTAAAAAAATGATATATGTGGTAGAAACTATTTAAATGAGCTCATAGTAAATAGTTGTTTAGCCCCAATTAGTTGGAGGCACTAGACTAGTGGAAGGAAGGTCATTGGGCTGAACTCATGATACCATGATGGACCCAAATGGAATAAAATTTTGTCACAAGCAGGATATGTGTTGTATATAATCGCAAAAAAATGTGTTCTATATAGCCATATAGGACAAGACCCTGAAAGGACAACAGGAAACCTATCCTAATCAAAACCGTCTAATGGGATGGATGCCTCTATTTAACTAATGAAAATATCACCAATTTCATCCTTGTCTATTCTTGCTTTGTTCATATTGGGATCCCTAGCTAGATATTCCTTAACTTTTATTAGTACTGTTATCTGACTGTCCAGATTGAAGGTGGATATTTGGAGGGTAATAAAGGCTTAAGCAATTGGGATATTTTCACCCATAAGCAAGGTGAAGCATGATAATCTATAGGAATTAATTTAGGCATAACTCCTAGATGTCAATTCATTTTTATTCTTCTCTGTGTCACCTCCTTTTCTTTATTCAATCCATTTAGGTACAGTTGAGGATGGGACCAATGGTGATACCGCTGATGATCACTATCATCGTTACATGGTATGTATGCTACAAGTTTTCCATGGATTTCAATTTTGTTGATTATTTAGTAATAAATATAAAATTGCAATCAATAATAGTAGTTGATATTCCAATGGATCATGGTATCTGTTCAACTACTTGAGACCAGAGACAATTTTCTATGCTCCAGGAAGACATTGACTTGATTTATTCCTTGGGTGTCAACTCATATCGATTTTCCATTGCATGGGCAAGGATTCTACCGAGTGAGTTTGACAATATTTTACTTCTTTACGAGTCCCTTCCTCTCTTATGGCATAAATTGTGGTTATGCATAATTGTTTAGAAAAAAAGGTTGTTGACGTAATTCGGACTCTTGCTACAGAAGGCCGCTTCGGGCATGTTAATCCAGATGGTGTAGCATTCTACAATGCTCTTATTGATGCTCTTCTACAAAGAGGTATTAGTTCAACAGATATATGCAGTAAACACTACTTTGAAGATATGGAGTTCTGAACTACATTTTAAACAGGCATAGAACCATTTGTGACGATATCTCATTATGACATTCCATATGAACTAGAGAAGCGATATGGTGGCTGGTTGAGCCCCGAAATTCGGTATGTCCATTTCTTTATTTGCAATAAAAATGGCTTCTAATTCTTGATTGGTGGCTGATTTGACTTCTAAATACTTTCTAGGAGAGACTTTGGTTACCTAGCAGATGTATGCTTCAGGATGTTTGGTGACCGAGTAAAATTTTGGATAACATTTAATGAGCCAAATATATTCGCAAAGCTCAGCTATATCTATGGACGGTACCCTCCTGGTCACTGCTCTAGGCCATTTGGGAACTGTACTTCTGGAAATTCTTCAACTGAGCCATACATTGCGGGTCACAACATGGTATTGTCTCATGCAAATGCGGTCAGCATTTACAAGAAAAAATATCAGGTACCAAATATGCAACAATAATCACATTAGCTTGAGAGTTGCTGAAATGAAAACACCAATTAAATGAGTTACTAAAATGAAAACATCAATTAAAGAAAATTGTTTATGTAATATGGTTGATGTTTGGTAGGGGAAACAAGGTGGTCATATTGGAATTACAGTTCTCTCAAGATGGTATGAACCATTCCGGAATATCCCAACAGACATCTTAGCAGTTGATCGGGGTCTATCTTTTGGCGCTCCATGGTACTAATCTTTCTGTTATATTGATAACAAATAATACAAATAACACTTTATTTTCTGATAACAAGCCCTGGACATATAGTATTATTAGTTAATTCATATTTGTATTTTATAGTATGGCTAATTTGCTTGATTATGCCAGGTTTCTGGACCCCATAATTCTTGGTGATTACCCCTCTGCGATGCACAAGATCTTGGGTCCAAACCTACCTGAATTCACATCAAAACAAAAGAAGATACTACAAGCATCCAAGTTGGATTTCATTGGTTTAAATCATTATTCAACATCCTATTTGAAGGACTGCATCTCCTCGTCACCATGTGAATTGGATCCATTTGATGGGGATGCCCGAATTAGTACTTCAACAGAAAGAGATGGAATACTTATTGGTGAAAGGGTAAACATGCATTGTTACAATATTAGTTTATTTGACATCTGGAATAGGCCAACCTCTTGGTCAAGGAGAGGTACGGTGTTTCAATTTAGCCTGGGCCTGGGTGCTCATCTGGTTTGGGTAGGACTAGCTTAGGTGGTGATGCCCACGTCCTGTTTTAATGAATGCTAAACTAGGAAGAGCAGTAGAACTCTTGGTCATTTTTTTAGAAAAAAAAATGAATTATCGATTGTTAGCCAAGGAAGAATAGAAATGATTGTTGATGGTTGCAATCTCATTCGTGCAGACAGGGTCGCCATACTTGAATACCGTTCCATATGGGATGGAAAAAGTGGTCATGTATTACAAAAGGAGATACAATAACACACCAATGTATATCACTGAAAATGGTATGGCTTCTGCCCATCTCTTTATTTTTTTTAGATGGAATAAACATAGTTCTAAGTGAAATTGTATTTTAGATGTTTTTATCATTGTAATTCGAGCATGACACTATCCAATAATCACACACAACACTATGTGTTAGGACATTGATAGGATTGTTACAAGTATTTTACCTTAGATATTTACTCACATGAATTTAAATTATTTAGATTGAAAACATGTTAAACATACTAGATTTGTATTAAAAAATGTGTTTGAAAAAAGTTTAAATATACATTCTAAATAATACAGATCAAAGTTTGCAAAATATAGTGGATCAAAGATACCCATAAAAGATAATGCAAAGTCAAATGTGACAAACATTTTTACCAAAGGGGGTACTTTCAAAATTAGGATTTATATATAAACATAAAAAAATACCAAGAAACATGGCCCTACTAAACTAATCTAGTGATTCATGGTCCAAATTCATATGCTATAAGAATTTTGCAGGTCATGCCCAAGCAAGCAATAGCAACATGTCTGCCAAGGATTTTACTAATGATACAGGAAGAGTCGATTATCTTCAAGGCTACCTCACCTTTTTGGCTTCAGCGATAAGGTAAATGTCAAAACTCTCGATCAATCTTAAACCAGCTCAGAAGCAATGCTTTGTGGCTTTGAACAATACCTTGGATGCATTGCTGCATCTACATGTTCTTCCTCCTTTCTCTCTAATCACTGACTAAATCACATATTCTGCTTCTTGTATGTCGATCATTTCACTCTCTAAAGGAAAGGGGCCGATGTGCGTGGCTACTTCGTGTGGTCTCTTCTCGACAACTTCGAGTGGAACTCTGGGTACACACAAAGATTCGGGCTCTACCATGTCGACTACAAGACACAAAAGCGAACCCCAAAACTGTCTGCGAAATGGTATAGTGAGTTCCTCAAGGGGTCACCCCTGAGAACAAGGTCCCAAAATGGAAATTCCTACAAGTACAGTGCCTAATCCATGGACCATTTCTCCTCAGAAGATTAGTAATTTGTAGATGTTTAATATCACGCTTTACGCATAAAGTTGATTACATGTTCTCATATAAGTTGTCTCAAGGATTTTGTATATATGTGCCGTGTGTATGTATGTGCATCAAGACATCAATAGAATACTAAGGGAGGAAATGTGTTTTGTTCATTGTTGAAGGAAATTCAAGCAATCCACCTCTTGTGTTAGGAAAAAGTACTTGTGCTTGACATATCAATATATAACAAACACGGCCTCCTACAGGAGGTTATATGATTCCTTAAACCTTTACATGGTATCTAAAGCTGAATCTTCCAAACACATCTGACAATGGTGAGCTCATCTTCATCATTGTCGATGCTGCCCTCCTACTTCCAAGAAGCCTACACAGGAGAACTTTCTTCTGCGGAAGGCTCAAGTCCTCCCTACAATTCAAGGGTGTAAATAATGGATTACCTGGGTGGAGAAGATTGTACCGCTAGAGAAGATGCTTCACATCACCAACGACGATAGGAAAACGAAGACCCTTGCAAAACTATAATACTGCACTACATTGTGTGGTGCCTTGTCTACACTTGGGTTGTATATTTGATGTTGTACTAGTGCACTGCACTGCTAAAGCAACTCGATGGTGAGCATGAGATGCTCTAGAGGTGTGTTTTCTCTTCTCAACAGTACTTGCTCCAAACCTTTGAGCAACTCTAAAAGAATTATGCTAATAGCTAAATAAACATGGTCTCCATGAATGCAACTCGTTAGGTGCATGCTAGAAATGGTGTTAAGATCGGGCAAGTAGCTTTTGTTTTAATGAAAGGAAGTAGCACAAGCTCAGTCACAAAAATCATAGAAAAACAATTGCCAGAGTGGCTTATCTAATCTATAGATTGACTGGACTAGCAACACAAACGTTCACTCTCCTACTATCCTCAAAAATTACATCAGCGTCCAAAGATCACAACCGCTGCCCCAGACATAGCCAAGAAGAACCTCATAGCTTTTCTCTCAAGTTTTTTTGCAACAATTCAAGACTTCAAGTGAATCCACGAACTTTCTCTCAAGTTTTTTGGAACAATTCAAGACTTCAAGTGAATCCACGAACTATCAGTAAATGACCCACGTACCCTTCTACTACTTGGTAATCTAGGCATGGCAAGAAAAGAAAAGGCACGAACAGATCACAACCACGGTCAATCTTTCAATCTGCTAAGCAATCAGGCAAAAAAAAAGCAATAACTAGAGGACTCACCGATGACGGGTCGACGGACAGCAACGGCAGGCGGGCGGGAGATGGTGATGTACTGATGTGCGTAGGGATATGTCGGTGTTTCGTACAAGCACCGGCAAGTAAATTTATAGTAATGCTTGTTAGGCTCGGATGGTGCGCTAAAGGACACAAGATTTATACTGGTTCGAGCTGAATATCCCTACGTCCAGTTTGTTGCTGCTCGTGTTATTAGCACCGTGAATGGTTTGTAGTAGGGGATACAAACGATCGAGAGAGGGACAGGTCCCAAGTCTCTGATGGAAGGGTCAAAAGGAAGTCGAGAGCTTGGTAGTAGCTTGACTATGTGTGCGTGTTGCCTTGTGTTTTTTGTCCCCCTTAGCTGGAGGAAGCGCATCCCCTTTTATAGACAAAGGGGACGGCTTTACAAGGGCCAGGGCCTAGAATCCGTGCTCTACCTAGCCTCCTTACTCATTCTGATGGGTGCGAAAGGAAGATAAGCGCCTACAATATTGTCGATGCTTCTGTAGAATATCAGGATGGTTACAGAATAGTGCCCTGCACAGGGTATGGGCTGGAGTACAGTGGTTTTGACTTATGAACCTCGCCCAGCCTTGCTCCGCACGTCTTCTGGCTCTATGAGTCTCTGTCGGAGGGACGCGGAGTCGAGGTCCGGAGTAGCGCTGTGGGCAAGGTCCTGCGTTTTGGTGGACCCGAGGGGTCGGGAAGCGGGCGCCGCTCCCTTGGGTCCATAATGTGGTGACGACATGTCCGTCATTTGTGGAGATTACAAATCCTTTTCTGGAGTGTAGTGGTTGTCGTGTATCTTCATCGGGTCCCGTGTCCCAGAGCTGAAGGCGGCGCCTACAACTCTACAGGGCGAGGAGTACGCACCTGCAATACCTTTTGGGCTCTGCGGCGCCTGGGAGGGTCTAAAGCACTTGTCCAGTAGTTCCCTGGCAGTACCTTTCCTACCGGGGCGCAGGGTATGGTCCTTGAAGCCGTGGTTGACCCGAACGTCTTGTCTTGCACTGTACCCATCATCATGAGGGAATGGGAGAGAAGTTATCAGGTAAGATAAAGCTAGCCTTTGGACATCGATCGGGGCGAGGTTTGTCCTCGGTCGTCGGGCGAGGCGGAGCCCAGTTCTTATCCCTTGGGCGTGACCGAACCCACCCCTCGGGGGTCGGGCGAGGCGGAGTGTATCCCTCAGCCCTCGGGCGAGGCGGAGACTAGCCCTCAGCCCTCGGGCGAGGCGGGGCTAGCCCAAAGGCGTCGGGCGAGACGGAGGCCGGCCCTTTGCCCTCGGGCGAGGCGGGGCTGGCCCAAAGGCGTCGGGCGAGACGGAACCTAACTTTCGTCTTTTGGGCAAGGAACGCAGCGGCGCCCTTGTCCGTCCAGAAGTTCTTAACGTTCGATGGTTATTGGTTCCACCTCCTGGGGTACCCTGGTATTAGGTCCCCGACAGTAGCCCCCGAGCCTCCAGGTGATTTGGATAGAACCGCTTGGAGGGTGTTTTTCGATTTCGTCGGAGTTATTTCGCCAGAGGGTGCGCGCGAGCGCGCCCGTTGGGTGTAGCCCCCGAGCCTCCAGGTGATTTGGATAGAACCGCCTGGGGGGTTGTATCGGACCCTTCGCGGGTAAGGCTGCAGGACTTGTTGTTTTTTTGTCAACTGGATATTTTTTCGAAGGGGTCGTGGTATCCCGTTCGCGGGGATCTCATTCAGGGCTGACCTAACTGGGGCTTGACCATGGATCGAGACCCCAGTAATGCCTGCGCCCTTGATTTCGGATCGTTCGCGGACCTGCCCTTAGTTGGGCCGGCCACCGAGCTTCTGGGCCCTAGGTGGGCCAAAATAGAAAAAATCTTTGTGACCTGCGTTCCCTAGGTGGGTAGAGAGTCCGGATTTGCCTGGGGAAGGCGAACCATCCACCGTGATTCTCGATGGGAAAGGATTGGGACTGCGGGCGCGTGTCCCGCGACGTGACGCGGCGGTGCGCGTGGCAGGCCCGGAGATCGAGGTGGATGGTTGCCCTTCTCGCGCCCGTTGCCCCTATAAAACCATGGGGTTCGCCCCCAAGGTTCCGTATTTCGCCCCCTTGCCTTTGCGTCTGAGCCATCCGCCGCCAATCGCCCTAGCCTCCTGCGCTCGCACCACCACCGTCGACCGGCTTGCCTCCGTGTTGCAGCCGCCGTCAAGCTTGCGCCTGTCCTGTAGCCGCAGTCGAGCTTGCACCCACCTTCTCCCCAATCTCTTTAATGGAGTTGTGGGGCAGATCTAGCATCACCTCTCGGCGTTTGGAGGGCCTCGTCCGCCGTGGCCTTCTCCATCCATTGTCCGCCGTCCAGGAGTGGCTGATACCTGGTGACGAGGGTGAGCCGGCACCGCTCAAAGGGTATGTCGTATCTTTCGCCATCTTTCATGAGCGGGGATTTTCGGTACCCGCACATAGATTCCTTCGGGGGCTGCTGGATTACTATGAGGTGGAGCTGCAGCATCTTACTCCCAACGGGATTCAACATATGGCGGCGTTTGTTGCCCTGTGTGAGGGTTTCTTGGGGATCGATCCCCATTTTGATCTGTGGCGGTATTTCTTTACCGTCAGTTTGTCGAAGAGGAAGATTGGGGGGAAGGATGTGAGCGTGCCGATGGGATGCACCAGTATTCATCTGCGCCATACCCGGTCGAAGGGTTACCCGTTCATGCGTCTGGCGACGTCTAACAAGGGATGGCACTCGCAGTGGTTTTATGTCAGGGATGATGTGAGTGCCCCCCTGCCGAGGTACACCGGGCACCTTATCGAAGAGGCTCCGGGGTCGTGGGCCTGGGGCGTCCAATTCGAAGACAAGAAACACCTTTCTGACCTTCTTTCCGCCCTCCAAGCTCTGAAGGAACGGGGCGTAAAGGGGACGGGAATTATCGGTGCCTATCATGCGAGGAGGGTGGCACCGCTGATGATGCGCACGCTTCCCCTGCACCGGATGATGCCTGGGGTATCATTCGAGGGGACGGTGCTTGTTGACGAGGCGCTCCCCTTCTCGGAAGTGGCGCAGCGCATAAAAGAGGCGATGGAGCCGACAAAGGATTCCAAAGGCGATGTCCTCGACATTGTGTATCCAGTGCCCGGACATCCCCCAATGCGGCCAGAACCTGGGTTCTTCGAATTCGTAAGCCTTCTTCTCCCGTGCTCTTTCTTTTTCCTGAATCTTTATCTTTTTTGATACTTGCTTTTGTGACGTTGGGACTAGCCGGGGGGGCTAGTCTTCAAAGACAGTCCAGTTCCGCCGCCAAAGGACAAGGCCGTGGCGGCGGCGAATCGCCTCGCGGCCGAGCGGGACAAGAAGGCAAGGGAGCAGATGAAGAAAGAGAGACGACTGAAGCAGGAAGCATGGGATCGGGGAGAGGACGTGAGCAGTGATGATGACGACGACGACGATGATGATGAGGTACTCATCGACGTGGATTGGGGCGTCCTGGAGGATGAGGACACGCTGATAAGTGCCCGCTCGTCTGTGCAGGGACCCTTCCCGTTCCACGCGGAGGGAAGTGAGTCGGTGAGGTCGGTGGAGGCCGGAGAGTCCGCCGCTTCGCACGGCGTGCCGGCCGAGGATCGGTGGGTGGGGGAAAGCGGGTCTGCCACCGCCGACCCCGAGGTGATGGTCGAGGGGGGCGGTGCTGATGCCGCGCCCCATCAGATGATGGAGGGGAGCGACTCTGGTGCCGCGCCCCACAAGGTGATGGAGATGAGCCCCCCTACCTCGGAG